AAAGTGGTCCACGTCCCATGATCCTAATAACGAAGATGCGATGCGAAGTCAAGTGGCTGTTAATGCGAAGTTCTAGCTGTGGTAACACTTTATTTTACGACCCGCAAACAACTGGGTAAGTACACAGAAATTACGGTGTACGTTTCTGTAATTATAGTGTACTTCCGTGTAAGTATAAGGGAACAATATGTTAAGTTTGGGGTAATAAAGGGGTAACAAGCAGATATACAACCTGCAAATAACTTCGTAAGTACACTGAAATTACGATGTACATTTCTGTAATTATAGTGTACTTCCGTGTAGTTATAAGGGAACAATATGTTAAGTTTGGGGTAATAAGGGGGTAACAAGCAGATATACAAGCAAATTATTTAATTAGTTAAAAAATAACAGGCACCTATTCTTTTAATATATTCCAGGCAAAAAATGTACGTCTGTTGTTAATAAAATGTATACTTCTGGCTAAATATGTTCTTGTGCAATGTTACAGGGTATTTTGACAAATTTATTGGCTTTTCTTACTAGATTACTTAATGTTAAATCAAAATAATTATTTTCTGTTATGATTTTAATTTAGACTGTACCTTGTGGTAATGAGTACTTACCTTGTCCAATTGAATTGCAATGACACTTAAATGTCAGGGCAAATATACTGTGTAATTAAAACTTTTTTGTTGTTGTTGTTTTATTTTCTTGATAACAGTACCGTTCTCTGTAATTACAGTGCAAATAGTGTTGTTTCGTATTGCTACATAGTAAGTAGCTTGTTACCCCCTTGGTCTGTGTAGTTACAGGGTAAGTGTAACTCCTGCGGGCTGTAAATTAAAGTGGTGCTTGTTAGCCCCTTTTTACCCCAAACTTACATATTGTTCCCTTATACCTACACGGAAGTACACTATATTTACAGAAACGTACATCGTAATTTCAGTGTACTTACGAAGTTATTTGCAGGTTGTATATCTGCTTGTTACCCCTTTATTACCCCAAACTTAACATATTGTTCCCTTATACTTACACGGAAGTACACTATAATTACAGAAACGTACACCGTAATTGTTGTGTACTTACCCAGTTGTTTGCGGGTCGTAAAATAAAGTGTTACCCTAGCTGTTTACAATGAAATAAAGGCAATCAAATATGATTGTATTGTTTTACGTTTTTTTTCTTGGATTAAAAGTCAATATGTGTTTATTTTAGCATGTTTGTTTTGTCCATATGTGCTAGTGCTGAGTTCCCCAATTGATAGACCATGTAGGTCAGCTGCTACAATGAATTTGTATAATTTTATTTATTTTATTTTTTTTGCCCGAATGTCAAACTCCGCCTATGGACATACATAGTTTCATATGCCATAGGTGGCATAATTTCATACATAGTTTCACTTATTTCTGACATCAGAGCCACTGAAAACACAGTGGATGTATTTTGGAAGTTTAAGTGGCGCCTTTCCTTCGTAAATAAGTTTATGTTCGAGCGGTCAATTCAAAGCAGGTCTTGCTTCAAAGTTAATCCTCAAGTGTGGATGTCTGTGTATATAATATAAACCTTGTTTGTAAAGTGTGTAACCACATGTTTATAAACATATATATTTTTAAAGATATTGTATTAAAACTGCATATATGTTCTTGTTCTGTAAGTTAGCCATCTTCTCACATTTGCCACAGAAGCACCTGTATGACATGTAAACATGACGCAACAGGTCCCTCGCATAAATGTAATTTCGCTTGTACGTAGCAAACTTTATCACAGTATGTGTTTGTAGTTTCAAAAAAATGTGCCAACGTTAGTGTTTGTGTTTGTCTGTGTGTGTGTGTTGCACCATACCGAGACGTTGTCACGAACTGCTCTGAGAAGAGGGTTAAGATCCAAACGCAGCTTTATTTGAGGGCAATCCAGAGGCATAATCCAATGTACAGGCAAGGGTCATAAACAGATAGGCAGTCCAAAACAGATAAACAAAGAAACAAACAAAACAGGCAGGCACCAGAGGCAAGAGAGTAATCCAGGGAACAGGGCAAGATATCCAAAACCAAGAGACCAGAAAACCATAGGAATGCTCAGAATTGCAGTGTAACACTTAAACAAGACTTCGCAGGGATTGAACAAATGAACCAGGTATATAAAGACAGACAAACAGGATGATACACAGGTGAATGCTATCAGAGAACGAGGTACAGGTGAGTGTGATCAGTGAAGATGAGTCCGAGGCAATGAGTTATGGGAAATGTAGTCTGAGAGTGATACATGAACATCTGGTGTAGAGTGCCCTCTGGTGACTCTCAAGGGCACTCCACCTGGTGACCGTTACAGACGTACTGGTCCATTCTCATTTGTGTTTATTCTGCCGGAGTCTCTTCGTCATCTGGGTCTGATCAGAGATTATTTATATATTCCGATTCAAACATGTACGGCTGAATGACAGCGGGTCTCTCACTCTCAGCCCTTCTGATAAGACCGACTGGCATAGGTATGCAAGTTACGCCCTCATCCAAAGACAGGGCGGGGATATGCAGCTCATTTGCATTTAAGGTCGTATACACCAAAACAGCTCATTTTAAAACAGCCCCCAAAAATGACATTTTCAATTGGTTATAATAAATTAAGTGTGGGGTTAATTGTGCTGAAACTTCACAAATACATTCTGGGGACACCCGAGAACAATATTACATCTTGTAAAAAGGGACATAATAGGTGCCCTTTAAACATTTTTCTAAAAAACGTTAAATTTCTTTTCCACTGAAGAAAGAAAGACATGAACATCTTGAATGGCTTTGGGGTGAGTAAATTATCAGGAAATGTTCCTTTTGAGTTAAACTAATCCTTTAAGTTACCTCGGAAATCACCTAACCACTACAAACCGGAAAAGCTTATACCCATTTTCCGGTTTGAACACTGGGGTGCTCGGCATAACCCATATTTGATTTTATATGATATATACTTTGGGAAGTTGTGAAGCACATACTTTTGTGTTCTTTGTACATCCGAACACTGATCAACTGCCATGCTTCGCTTGTTTGCATGCCATTAAATCTCTCGAGGAAAAACTTGAATTGCGCTTGCACGTTCTTACTTCCTAGCTCACTTTCTCATTGGCGAGCCAAACTTTCTCATGGCCGAGCGAAAAGCAAAGAAAGGGGAGGTTACCTTTGTATAGGTCTGTCACACGGGGAGATTCCAAGAAGGGTAATCCATCAGCCGGAAGTTGAAGCCTCGCGGGAGCCGCCATTGTAGCAGAACTTCACCTGCTGTTAGCATCCCATTGACTCCCATTCATTTTGGCGTCACTTTGACAGCGAATAACTTTACATCTGAGGCGTCCAAATACTTTTTTGTCCATTATTTATTTGTAAAGAAACACACGAATGTATAAATTGCTCCATTACTTTGTTACAGCCCCGTAGAAGCTGTTTTGGTAAAAATAGGCTAAAGATTGCGTCATAACCACGGGACTTTCTGTGGCACAATAGAGACATTACCGTATAGACAGGTAATGAAGCTCGCAGGCAATCTTTTACTGTCTATGAGGCAATCAGGGGGACATGAAGGCACAAAGTCAAGGTGGAAACCCATAAATAGAGAGTCCATAAAAGCAACGGGACAAAATATTTCAACAACGTTTTTGAGGAGTTAGGTGATTCAGATTTGGCTTGGCACAGCTACTAGAAGATTTACAACTGTCAGACTGTCGTCACACTCAGTTTGAGCCTGCGCAGTCGCTCAGACAATAGACAGGAAGTGCATCAGTCTTTTCCGTTGAAATCAATTGGGTCGCTGTGTCCATTTCTTTTACTGTCTATGGGAGATTCAAGATCAGCGCGTCTGAGCTTTCATTTTCTCAAAGGCAAAGAAAGATAGCCAAAGCTCGGTTTACACCGATTGAAATTTCTAGCCACTGGGGGACCATATACATGGCTTGGGGAACTCATGTTAATGTTAAAAAACCTCAGTAAGTGAAAATTTCATGTCAGGGTACATTTAAAGAGAATGTGAGAAATGTTAAAATCACACTTATGAGTAATGTAGTTACATCAGACCAACCCATTTTAGATTTGCATTGAACGCAAGAGTCATTTATTGTTTAGGAATTTGTCAAAATAGGGCCCAGCATGTACTTGTTCTCTTGAATATGGATGCTATTTCATTTAAAATAAACAAATATAACAGATTAGCTTCTTTTTTTTAGGTTGGTTCTATTACTGTGTTGGTTCTACTACTGTCTACTAGGTGTGACTGACTTTTTTTTTTTGCAAAACAAATAGGCTAATTATTAAAGGAAAAGAAACCACCCCTATACGTCCTTTACATTTTGTAGAGATGCAAATCACATGCACAGACCTTTTTACAGTCTATGGCACTGACAGATCATTTGATTAAACTTAATCATTTTAAACGTATGGTGATCATCATATAAATTACAAAATTATATATATAGCCTAATCCTCTTGCTTGAGAATGTGATCAAAATAATGAAACTCACTCTGAAGTGTTTATTAAAGATTCAGGTTTTGTCTTTCACAATGTCTCAGGTCTAGTTCATAATTTCAGAGTAAATGAAACTTATGATTCTGTTATAAACAGGTTGCAACTTGCATCATATCCCACAGGTGTGTAGGGTTAATACTAAACTGTTTGTAATACTTTATTGTTTGAGCTTGCGTCCTGGCTTCTCATTAACTTCCCCATTCTCCTCGCTGAATGGTAATCCCTAAAGACTTTTCATTTAAATTAAATTTACTTCTGCAGAAAAAAAGAAGATACCTGTGTATTCTACAGAAGACAGAAATTTATACAGGTTTTTAATGACATGAGGATGAGTAATTATGACAGAATTTCCATGTTTGGGTCAACCATCACTTGGTTGGTTCAAGTAGACCTACATTTCTCGCAATTCTTAATCATTTTTCTTTATCTTCAATTGGCAAGTACATTTTGTAAGATTAAGTTTCTGTTTCAAGAAAAGTTTACCTGTTAAACTTTCATTTTCTCATAAAGACCCTCCCCTTTTGATAAACTATAAATGGCACTGAAACAGACACGTTATTCCACTCTCCTCCTGATCAAAGATGGATCTGCAACTCTCAGTTTTTCTTCTGTTCATTCTCTTCACTGCAGGTATGAAGACAAATAGTGTTTGTGATGTTACTGGGTACAAAAACAGATAATTGATGTCTCATTCTCTCTGTTTTATAGGACATTCTCTCAGCTGTTATGAGTGCGTGGGTCTGACGGGTTCTTGTGCAGAACAAACAGTTAAAACATGTCCTTTTGGATCTTCTCAGTGCCAGAGTGTAACAGCAGTAGCACAAGCTGGTAAGTCCAATATGATTGAAATGTAGTTATTTGACTGATGGAGATGGTTCTATAATTGACTGGTTCTGCAATGCACTTTCAAATGAAAAAAAAAATGCTAAATTTTGATATTTATAAATACATTTACCATTAAACTAATATCCAGTTGAACTCCTCTTCCTCATTCATATTTTTAGGTGACATTATTTCTAAAGTGAAGGCTAAAGATTGTGCTGTTGACTGTCAAAGTGGGTCCATGAATCTCGGCATTTCAAAGGTCTCTTCTTCCTGCTGTAACACAGACCGGTGTAACGTCCAAGATGCTCCAGGTATTGTGCTTTAATGATCATCTTCTTTCAACATTCATTTGACTTCCAAATGAGATTCATTCAGAAAATAAAAAGCAGGGTGTGGCTTGTTTGTGGTGAACTTGATTGAATGGAGCTGCACAGAGTGTTGTTTCATTACATATTTATTTTGTACAGAAATTAAAATAAAAGGATACTTGTTTTCCTCTTGTAGATCCCTCTAACATCCCCAATGGAAAGCAATGTTTCTCTTGTGATGATAAGAGCTGCTCAAACACAGTGAGCTGTTCAGGGACTGAAGATCGCTGCATTAAAGCAACAGGTGAGAATCTGGAAACAGATCAAGATTAAAGTCATTATCTTTTAAACTGTCTTAGGTTTGATCATTTGATAAAGATCACATACAGTAGATCAATGTCAAGCTTTGACTGAATCAACCTTTGTTTTCTTTCTTTTCATCAGGGACCTTTGGAGGCCAGACATTGGTTGTAAAAGGCTGTGTCTCTAAATCTATTTGTGACGCCACAACATCAGTTAGTAATGTTCAGGGCATTTCGTGTTGTGAGGGGAACCTGTGTAACGGGTCTCAGAGTGTCACCCAGAGCGTCCTGATCCTCTGCGGTTCTCTGCTCTCATACTTCCTGATGCACTGAATACAGCAGATCTTCACATTTTACAATCAGACACAGTACTGAATATGTACCTTGCATTTCTTTGTACTATACTACCATTGATGTTCTGATTATTATTATTTGTTTTTCTGTATAATGCGGATGTGACATTTTATGAAATAAAATACTCTATCACCTTTTTCCTGCAGTCATATTTAATAAAGCATGTCATGCTGTAAATAATTCTGATAAAACCGCAATAAAAATATCTCATTTCTTAAAGGGGTAGATCATAACATGAAAATCATTTACTCACCCTGGTGTTGTTCTAATGCAGTATGAACACTGCTCTGCTTGCTAGTTACACACTTAAAACATGATTTCCATTACACGAGAGTAGATGTTAAAACTTCATGCTGATTTGTACTTGGCTTTGGCCAAGATAAGCAAAACTAAGATGTAGCTTTACAATAAACTATGCTTCTCCATCCATTTACGCTTCTTTCCAAATGGTGGTGTGACTCCCCTGTCCGGCGTTAACGGCTGCAGTGTACTTGCCGCGTCAGCACACACGATGGCTGCAACTACAGTGTGGTCTCCCTAGTGGACCACCACGACAGCCCTCTGGATTGAGCCGAGTAGGGGACATCTCTAGGGTCTTCAAGTGGGCACCTTCCGTCCTCAGTGTTTCGTCAACTAGCCCACGACACCTCAAAAGAGCTCGACAGTGACTCTGGCGTCCCAGAGTCACCCCCCTCCATCCCCCACTCAACTCAGTGCAGCTTACTGACCTCCACATCCCTCCTGCTGCTGCGACCTACCCACAATCTCACAATCTCTCCGTAACCCAACCATACGCGCCAACCCGTTTGACTAAGGGTGCTTTCACACCTGCCTCATTTAGTTTGGTTGAATCGCACTAGAGATCGTTTTCCCTCTTGGTGCGGTTCGTTTGGGCAGGTGTGAAAGCAGCAGTCGTACTCGGGTGTGCACCAAAAGCGGACCAAACAAGCGTACCGAGACCTCCTCGAAGAGGTGGTCTCGATACGCTTTCAAACGAACTCTGGAGCGGTTCGTTTGTGGTGAGAACGTGATCCGACCTCGAACAGACCCAACTGCCAAATAACTGCGCATTTTTGGACTAAACCAGCTGCCGTAGTAAAACAAAATGATTATTTATATAGCCAATATCGCTCCCTTTAAGCCATGACTGACTTACCGCGTTCTGCACTCTCACTAAAACACTCATCATCATAAACGCTGAAGTTGTCCGCACTGCACAGGGAATCTCTTATTTATATCATGTCTATACTTTGTTATTTATGAGGGGATTTGCGAACGGTGTAAACATGAAAGCACTGCGTCGAAAGAGAATATTCCGGCGCACTGTCTACATGATACTGTTGCGCGTCTTTCAGTGTGTCGTGTGTGCATCATTGGAATAGAAGTCTAAATACGCATACATGCAAAAAAAGCATTTGCAGTTCATAATGTAAGGTTAGTTACAATACAATGATGATGCTGCGTTAATTTACGTTAAACTGAACAAACTTAATCGCAAGCTTTAACGTTGACAGCACTTGTTAGCAGTATAAGAATATCATTATTGTCTTCTGTGCAGTACCACTTGTAACGCAAAGTTGAGATGTTGCCCAGAGATAAAAACAGTAGATGGTCGAATGAAAAGATGCACGAGAGACGAGAGTTGTCATATTTCCCCGCGTTTAATAGAGCCACTCAAACGTTACACTCGTCGTATTCTCAAAATCCGAATTAGCTACAACATCGTATAGATGACATCATATGTAGTAGTAGATGCCTTTATTAATCCCCCCAGGGGAAATTCAATGTCCATCAGCATTAGTGTGTGTTGATTACCAGCAAACATTCTCACTACTATACACACATAAAAGAGAGCACCAATAATAACAATTAATAAAAAGTTAATAAAAGAGTCGATAAAACAGTCCCACAACAAACTTCTACAATCATTAGTAGTAGATCGATACTGCACTTCAAGCAGTTCCATTGTATAGCCTTATGGCGGCCGGAAGAAATGACCTCCTGAATCTCTCAGTCCTGCAGCGCATAGAGAGGAGACGGTCGCTGCGATTGCTTTGCTGGGCAACCACACTTTCATGTAGTGGGTGGCTCCTGTTACTGAGGATGGATTTCATCATTCTCCTCATTCTTCTCTCCACCAACTCGCCTACAGAGTCAACCCTCCTCCCCAACACTGACGCACCCTTTCTGACCAGTTTGTCCAAACGGTTCCCATCTCTGGCTTTCATACCGCTGCCCCAGCACACCAGAGCAAAGAACACAGCGCTGGCCACAATCGACTGATAGAAAAGGTACAGCATCTCATTACAGACATGAAAGGATTTTAACTTCCTCAGGAAAAAGAGTCTGCTCTGGCCCTTCCTATATGCTGCATTTACATGTGCTGACCAGTCCAATTTATGGTCCAGATGGACTCCTAGATATTTGTATGTCTGGACCACCTCAATGTCTACCCCATCAATTACCACAGGTGGATAGTGTATCTTACGCCTCCCAAAGTCCACTATCATCTCCTTGGTTTTAGAAGTATTAAGGACGAGACCATTGCACCTGCTCCAGGCCACAAACTCCGAGATGACCCTTCTGTATTCCTCCTCATCTCCTCCCTTCACACAAGCCGCCACCACAGTGTCATCAGAATATTTTTGTATATGGCACGATGATGTACTATGTGTAAAGTCAGATGTATATAGGGTGAAGAGGAAAGGGGACAATACAGTTCCCTGGGGGGCCCCAATACTTGTTTCCACAGTTTCTGAGACCACGTTCCCCAGTCTGACGTACTGTGGCCGCTTTGTCAGATAGCTGGTTATCCACTCAATAAGAGCAGGCTCCATGCCAAGATTCGCGAGTTTGCCTCTCAGAATCTGAGGCTGGATGGTGTTGAATGCACTCGTAAAATCAAAGAACATCAGCCTCACATACCCCCCTGTCCCATCGAGAAAAGTGTGGGCTCGATGAAGCAAGTAGAGGACAGCATCCTCCACCCCCATGTTTGCTCGATAGGCAAACTGCAGAGGGTCAAGTGCGCATTGAAGTTGAGGGCCCAGGAACCGTAGGAGGAGCCTTTCGAGGGTCTTCATAATCACAGACGTCAAGGCCACTGGTCTGTAATCCTTAACCCCGGCGGGTCTCCCACCCTTAGGCACTGGCACAATGCAGGATGTCCTCCACTGCTTCGGCACCTGACTCTTCTGAAGACTCCAATTAAATAGTGTGTGCAAAGGAACCGCCAGCTCCGCAGCGCAGTCCTTTAGAAGCCTTGGTGGTATTCCATCTGGACCAGCCGACTTGCCAGGGCGCAATCTTCTGAGCTCAGCCCTCACCGCCTCCATGCTAAAATAACCACAGGAGACAGCAGAAGGGATGGAACAGCCACTGGATGTAAAAGAGCAGATGGAGGCAGCAGGGACGAAACAACTGCTGGGTGGGACCGAATAGGAGGCAGCAGAAGTGGTGGAACGGCCACTTAGTGAAGCAGAGCTTGAGACATCAGCAGAGTTGGAACAGCTACTGGGTGAAGTAGGGCAAGAGGCAGCAGAAAAGGTGGAACAGCCACTAGATGTAACAGAGCAGGAGGAAATAGCAAGGCTGGCACAGCTGCTGGGCGGAGTAGGACATGAGGCAGGACAGGATATGATACTCATTAGTTTCTTCATGTTGCGTTTGTACAGAACAACACAAAATTAGTAAAAGAACAAATATTGCAGTAGGAAAGATCTCCTTGCTGAGCCTTTTTTGCACTTCCTGATTTCCCTATTTGAGAATCCTTGTCCAATGAATGGACGACCTTAGTACACGTGTGGTTTTTGCTTACAAATTTTGGTTCACTAGCAAAAAGAGCAGTGTGAAAGCGAACCGTACCAAAAAAAATTAAATAAATAATTTATTTGGTTCGGACCAAAGCAACTGAACTATCGGACTTTCCTGGTGTGAATACACCCTCAGGCTGTCGAGCAGTTTCAGAGGCAACGGTTCCGTATGGCATACCGTCTACCGTAAAACACAATATCTGGCTAACCACCCGTCATTCAAACAATATACACAGGAACGTAATGACTGTAAATACAATGCAACCTACACAAACAGACTCTTCAATAATTCTACGAAACCGTAGAAAGGCGGCCTGTACACAGCAGCTAGAATCTTTCTGTCTCAACCACAGCCGGTTGCTGCTCCTTTCTGCTGCTTCAGATAAGTTCTTTACTGTGCGACGCAACTCTTGGCCACTGAATCCGACGTCTCTGAGGAACCGGGTTGTGTGCCACAAAACCTCGACAACCCTCTTCCACTGGATAAACTTGAACTCTCCATCCTCGCTGTTCTTCTTCAGTGGCCAGATGAGCATATCGCAGTTTCTTCCTCTCAAATGCCTCATCTACCGCATCCTCCCTTGGCACTGTTAGCTCTATTAGCTGAACAATGCGTGCTGATCCAGACCACAAAACAATATCTGGTCGTAAGGTAGTGGTGGCAATCTCAGGTGGAAAAATAAGCCGTTGATCAAGATCAGCCAGCATCTTCCAGTCCCTAGCAGCTTTCCAGACTGATCTCATGAAGTAGCGTGTGTATGACACGCCAATTTGTATTTCCATTTTTGGCGTGCTATCAAGACGCATAATCGCCTTTCAGCGTGTTTATGAACGCCGTTGACTTAACGTTATATAAATATATGACTTACCTCAACCCCGTCCCTAAATCTAACCGTCACTGGGGTTAATGGCATTTATGACTGTTCCCTTACCATCCTAGGTAAAAAAAAAAGATATGACTTACCTCAGCCCCATCCCTAAACTTAACCGTCACTGGGGTTAATGGCATTTATGACTGGAGATTTGACTGGGTGTTCAGACACGCGGAATGACGCGGACGTTAATGGCGTAGACATACAATGGCGGTTAATGGCGGATACACGCGGATATCACAAAATGCGTGGAGATAACACGCCACCTGACTCAAAAGTGGCGTATATGTTGTAATGGCTAATGTTGCATTTACATTTATACAAGTTTCTTTTCTTTCATATATGATCTTTATTTTCTTTTATATGTTTTCTTTTATTTCATTAAGATGTGATAGATGTGTGTGTAACTTTTACTAACGTTGGAGAAGATGTATTCATGAGCATTTAAAGGGA